ATTAGAGGTAATACAAGACAAGATGCACACTACATTACCGAGTAGTACGAACGCGAAGGACAAGCACTGTAAATATTTAACATGGTGATAAGCGAATGCAACAAGTACTCCAGGGTTGCCTGTACGCAGATGCTACACTTATACGTTTTATCATTAACGAGGATTCAAAGTGTTTGGAATTCATTCCAAGCGACATAAGATGGTGTTTCAAAATTTCAAACATGGTATGTACTCTGAGTGCCGCGTGACTCAATTTCATCAATACACGATGCTGACTAATGAGCGCGGTTGGTCCTGGCTTCAATGCAAATCAGTCCATCTAGAACGAAAATATAAATGCGCTGAACAAGAAGCCTAGCTAGGTGAATGATTTTGACGTATATCGATATACTACTGTTTGCTGCCAATCTATCATTGTTTCCTGGAGTCGGGTATTGGCGCTTCCCAGCGCCGCTACGATTTCTCATTCAAGGCTCCGATCTAGGCCACGAAACACTCTGTTAAGGGTACATTGATCCGCGAAGTAAGCGCAGGTAACAGGGCTACAAACCACAGCCTACTTTTTATCAAGCACTAATACACACTACCCTATCTCTATCAAGTCGAAAGCTGCACAATGCATTAATCTAACACCTCAAACCTGTAACATAACTGCCTGCACTCACCCAACGGAGGAGATGAAAACAATTGCTGAAATTCAAGTCTACAACCTTCGCAGGCCACCTCGATGCTAACAGTCATTTTCTCGCCACAGGAGAACCGTGTCGGCATCAGTGCTTGCCATCCATCTTGTAATTCCAACTGCTCGGTCTTCTCTATCTCAGGAAGAAATGCGACAGTACCCATTAGTGCGATTCGTTGGGGTCGGGAGTTCCAGCTGAGGCGCTTCATGGATTCTGTAGGAGTGGTGACATTCCAAATTTGAATCTGGGTAAGGGAGCCAGATGAGGTGTAGGTCTTGTTGGCCGCAAGGCCATCTTCCGGAGTGGCAACAACACTGTCGATATAGCAAGATGTGAATTTCGACTTGCGTAGGTGCCATTGGAAGAACATTGAATCCTGGGGACGACATAAGTGACCGAGTGACTTCAGGTGGAGATCCACTTACGTCGTCGCTCAATATGACATGTGAGCCCGAAGTATACACTTGGTCAGGTAAGGCTTTGTTTGCCCGTACGATTGTGCTTGGAAAGTACGTCATAGGTCCTGCTTTCCATTCTGAAAAGGTGCCCATGATGACTGAACGTGCGTACCTTTTGGTGCGAGCTCTTGAGCGAATTCCAAACCTGGGAACTGGCTCGGCTGCCGCAAACCATGGGCATTATGCTGCCCGGAAATGCTGGCAGAGGTGACATACAACGAGCATGCACAAGCCACTGTTAGGACATAGAGTCCGAGTTTGGCCCACTGGCAAACGGACCGTTCGAATGCAGGATCTGCCTCGCGAGGCTTAGAAATGAAGCGTTCGCTGGGGAGGAGAATTGCCTCTTCTCCATAGTCTTCAAGTTGATATTCCAGATCGTGCATTTGGAGAGATGAATGTGATACTATGAAGGTCTGTGAATATATTGCTTATCGGTGGCAAAGTGCCCATTTACCTGTTTCACCCGAATGTTTGGTAGGGCGCACCGAAGCCTACGCAGGCGAGATTCTAGTTTGGATAATATTCAAATTTCATACGTCAGCAACGCGATTGGAAGAGAAATATATGTCCAACCATGACTCGTTTGAAATACTAGATGAGCAACGAGCACTACACACATGAATGAATTACAAATCCAGCATGATATTTCAGACGGATGAAGCATATGAAGACAGGGACTGATGAGTCGATATTGCTGCACTGAAGGATAAGCTATTAGCAACAATACTTGAAAAAAAAATACTCACTTGGATGTGGTCTGGTGACGGTAAAATCATATTCGCTATACGAACGATGTTAGTGAGGACATAATGTTGTACATATTTGGTTTGTGGCACTTATGAAGACTCTTACACACCCGCCGATGGTTTGGAGTCTGGACGAGCGGTTTCAAGTTTTAGATGTAAGAAACAATGACGGATTGGCAGCAACCAGGATATCGATATACATCAAAATGATTCACCTATAGGGCCTCGTTCAACGCATTCTATTTTCGTTCTAGATGGGCTGATTTGCATGTAAGCCGGGACCAACCACGCTCATTTGAGTCAGTATCACAACCTCATCTACAGTAGGCAGCGGGACTTCGTTGCACTGCGCCCGTGAAATTGACGCGGCACTGTCACAAATCTTAGGGTATAGATCATGCATCATGTTCAAACACCATCTTATGTCGCTCGACATGAATTCCAAACACTTTGTCGTCAATGATCAAACATCTGAATGTCCATCTGCGTACAGGTCCTGGAGTACTTGTTACATTCACTTCTCACCATATTTACAGTACTTGTCCACCACGTTCATACTACTCAGTAATGTAGTATGTGTCCTGCGTTTGTCCTGTATCGCCTCTAATCATTGATCTAATGTTGGTTTTCAAACGCAGGGTTGAAGTATTGTCTCAAACCTCGACCCCACCTTGTCAAGTCCGATGCAACTTCTGTATTCAAGCCCCAACCACGTCATGTCAGGTCTCATTCAGGCTGGGTCAAACACCACTCACACCACGACAAGTTCTCCCCAACATCCTCTGTATTAATGTCAACCTCCACACTTTGCCAATCCTATGCCGCGTCAAACCCCACCCCGGCGCGCGCACGCACTTTTCAACTGTTAGTGTAACTCATGTACATTGTCAACTTGTCATAATAATTGATTTTATAACAGTGTCTCCTTTCATTCCCCTACAGTGACCGCCCAGGTGCGCCGTTCAACTGATGCTCTTTGCGAACTCCAATTTGACAAGTAGAACAGGTAATATAATAGCTTATCTTCTGGCCTCTGTGTAGACCACTTGGTCGTCACATGCTTGGATGTCGTTGCTACTCCGAATCAAGCCTCACCTTTGTCTCGATCCCGGTACATTGCCACCGCCATTGAGCTTCGTGCAGGCCGCGGGGCTCGACAGTCATCTTCAAACTTCACACTCACTGTCACAAGTCCAGTCGTGTGAACCAAGCGATGGGTCATTGACTGGTACACACGGTTGATTACTTATTGATATGCAACTATATAGCCCCTCCGTTAAAGTGGCGAACCAGGTCGGGGTTGGTGGAATGATCTCTGGCTCAGTCTTCGGAGATCATGACAAGGTCGAAGGCAAAGTTATCCGACATCCCAACTGCTCACAAAACGGTCCGCTGAACATATCTGTAAGTCTGATGAGTGATGCACATGAACTTAATAACTATCGCTGTTGTAGATCGAAGGCGTGTTTGAGTATGTCTCTGTGAAGGAGGACCTAGATGACGGATCTGCCCAAGGACCTAAAACTTCGAAATACAAGCACATATTCTTGTCGTCCTCTGCTGTTATTCCTGTTTCACTTCTCCTTGACCCGCTTTCTGTTGTTTGCGACATGTTTAGGGTACCATAACTTCCCAGTGACTCGAGTTTGAATGCCCTGCATTTAGATCATGCGAATTCAGCTTCGAAACTCCTCGCGGCAGTCAACCAGGTGAGGAAATGCCTCTCACCTTCCATGTTATGCCTTGTGATAGCAGACGGGGAGGCCTATCTGTTGTGGAGAACGCTGAAGTGTCTTATCGCGTTACTACAGTGTGGGGGCCCTCAGACATATCGGAGACCAACGGGATGTGCGTTATCAAATGCCAGGCACCACTAGGGCCCTTCAGATGCTTACTGCTCAAGTTACAGGCCGGAAGTTACCATTCTTTTTCATCCGGACACAGACTTTCAGTCTATGGACGGTTCCATTATCGTGCCGGAATTAGCTCTTGAAATGCCTCTTACACCAGAGCGATCTGTTTCGTTCCATTGCGTTGTGGGTTGAAGACGTGGCGTGCATGTATATCACCTCACGAACAGAATTTATAGGTCATTCCCCCGCGCCTGCAAACGTTTTCTCGACATACCTCTCCCATATTTTGTTACATTCACAACAAAACCTCGATGTGCTGTACTTGCTCGAGAAACTGCCGCCGATGCCACCATTGCTGTTTCCTGGTCCGTAAAGTTACCATCCAGCCCCAGCCACCCCCTACTTCCCCTGACACCATGCAATTGTCATTGACTCATGGACATATATATTTCGTCATGGAATATACAGCTCCTTATGCGGGTGTCGGACGAACTAGGATGGTACCGTGGGTACGCGTATATACAGATGATGGTGTGGCTCCCGGAGATCCGGGCAAGACCTCCCTTGATCTGATTGATGTATCGTCAAAACGCACACCACAAAGTAAAGCAGGGTGCCACGTAGTATGTTGTACTTGTCAGCTATATCTCCCTCAAGATTATTTGTTCTTGTCAGTAAACAAGTGACCAAAATTTCTTCTGAGGTCGCATCCAGCAATGCTTAACAACCTCACACGTCGATCCTCAGAAATTCTGCGGGTATTTTGGCACGGTGCTTTGGCCATCAGCATTTTTTTGAACATTCTCACTATGTTGCGCTTGCAACCCCCGTCGGTTGATGATGGGCAGTATAGTATGTCGTTGTCGTTTTCACTGGCAATAGTAGTTCAATTTCACCCATATTCAATGTAGCTTATATTGGCGAGGATCATCCAACAGAATTACCCCTCCGCTTGGACACTGTTGCATTAACATTCAACAGTTCGGAACATTATGGTACATCAGACATCATGGCTTGGTCAGACTGGAAATCGCTCGATCATTTTCCACGAGGCCAGGGTTTTGTACGGCTGGGACCAAATGGTATCATCGTCATCACTAGATCGTGTGTCAGACATTCACCATTCACAAATTGTGCCAGGACGGCTATTTGGGGTATCCATGTTTCACCAAATTCACTGCCTGCAAATGATCCGGCTAGCCCTCATCAATGGGCCCAACGGTCACAGTGGTCATTGCCTCAATATATTGCGACAAGCAATTCTTTGCAATTCTGATATCACTCTCGATCCACTTTTTACCGACCCTGATGGATTGATGACAGCCACAGATGGTTTGGGAGTGACGCATTTTTGTCGGGACTGGTCGCAGGTTTATGCCTATGTCATAGAAAATCAGAAAGGTCACATGTGGGAAGAGTAGAAGATGATATTGTGGTAGGGGACCCCAGGGGTAGGAATGAAGTAGTAGCCACACAGTACCGTAGATTAGTCAGGGTCTTTCGAGCTTTATCGTAGCGTAGTGCTTTTCGGAACTTCATGCCTCGCTCGTGACATGCAGGTACACAGTCGCGGATACACTGCTGCAACATGATTATAGCATAAATGCAATTCATAGTAGGTGGTATGAGGGAGGGACCAGGGATGTGTAAATGTTGTACATAGAACATCCGAATCCAGCATGATATTTCGAAGGACGACACTTACCATGACGACACGATGAAGATCTGTCGTCTATCTAAGAATTGCTCATTGAAGATATTGCTTGTCGGTGGCAAAGTGCCCATTAACCTGTTTCACTCGAATGATTTGGTAGGGTGCACTGAAACCTACGCAAGCGAGATTCCGGTTTGGATGGGATTCAGATTTCATAATGTCAGAAACAAGAAACGCGATGCGGCCATAGTCCAGAGACACTCACCGTGTAGTGTTGTGCAAAGAAGCCCAACTAGGCCGGGCCGGGCCGAGCCCTGCTTTCATCATCGGCAAGATCAGCAGAACTATCACTTTCATTCAAACTTTAAGCTTAAATTGAATACACAAATGCACAACGGTACTGAAACAGGATTTGACAAGGACACGTGGCTGTTCAGGATGCACGCAACTCACTACGGTAAGTGGGAGTTCCTCGCTTCATTCACCTGGATTTGGAGTGCTAAGCAGTCTGGCAATTGCTAACAGTAAAATCATATTTCCTGTACGAACGATTAAATGTGGAGCCTGGTGATGAGATCATATGCGAAGTCCGGACTCACCAGACGGTCAAGTAAAAGCCATTGACCAGATGACACAATGGTGCAGAAACACTCACTTGAAACAGGAATTGACGCATCGATATCCGACGCGTCACTGTTACGTTCAGGATGCATGCAACTCACGGTATGTCGGAGTTCCTCACCGCATCACAATGTGTTGCAAACTTGAAGCTTAAGCCTCAGACAGGCGGAAAAATGCATTGCCCGAGCAAATCAAAACAATACACGAAACGTCCGAGTCAGTGAGTCTGATAATCGAGCTTGTAGTAACGATATAAAAGCAGCATTCCTTGAATCGAAGTACACTCAGCACCCCAGTCAAGTTCCAACAATCACTTCACCGTGCCAACATCTAGCAATCATGAAAGATTTTTGACACATGTAATCCAATCAACTTTTAAAGCCTCTGATTTTCAACCCGAACTACCTAGCCCAAATCATTGGTCGTGAACGCCATACCAACTCTTCTATCTGCCAAACTCGGTCATCCCAGCCCACCGCTTCTGTTGACTCACCTCTATAGCGAAATGACGACATATCCACTATCAAATCAACACACCAGCCCAGGCGCCGGTTTACCAGGCTTTGGCTCGTTGCAGCAGATTCGAGAGATCCAGTTTATCCTCTGATCTACTGCAGAGTCTCGCTATGAACCTGATGCTGCACCAGGGCTTGGGTGTTCCTAGTTTTTCTTGTATAGAAGGAAGGGAAGTTGTGAACCACCCCACGATCGCGAATAAGAGGGATTAGAACATCCCGGACTTCATCAAGCTGGTCTGGTCTGAGCACAATGCCGCCTCTTAGAAGCGCTGCTGATGACTATTTTCCATCATACGCCGGCGGCTCCGAAGTGAGCGTGGTTTAAAGGACATAGAGGAGGGCAAAGACCAGGAAAAATGGCCTAGGGCTGATTACAACAGGAAGACTAGTGCTGCTGAGCTGGGCACTAATGCACCGGTAGCTGATAAGTACTGCCAGTTGGAAGTGCACCGTAGTAAAAATATGTGCTTAGGTTTTAATCAACACTGCGCGTCCAGTCTTCCGGCAGATCCTTGACTGCAGTCTCTGAACGTCTGATCCAACCTCGTAAAATACAAGTACACGCATCTTTTGTTCTCAATACGCGACGGACTAATCAAATTGACTATACAATTGGAGAGTTCAAGAAGAGTTACACTATTTTGCGTCCCTCGGGAGTAAATAGATTACGGAAAAGACACAGGAATTTAGTTCCACATGTCCTCTTCAGTGAGTAAGTGAAGAGCAATCGTATGGGCGAACAGATTGATAAAGGCATTTCAAGCTAGTCTAAAAGTCCAGGAGTCACAGTGATGCACTCGGCAACGATGATGACAACAAAGTTCGACCGTGGCTGCTGGTAGTCCAGTTGAAGAAGTCTAAATGCTTCTACAGATATAATGTCCATGTGACTGCGCAATTAAATGGAACCTATCGCCGACAATATCTATGTGCGAGTGACCACTTCCAGGATGGCATGCACGACTGAAGAAGGGTCAATCTGAATTTCTTGAGCAAGGTCGCTCCCTGGAGCGACAGATGGAAGACTGTCGGTTTCGAACCGCCTATAAATGGATGAAATGAGGCATCAGAGAAGAAAAATACAAAGACAGAGCGTACCGATCATTCCACCAGGCGATATAGCGAATGCCTAAGGAACGAACCGCCGTTTCTGCGTCGCGAGTAAAGACGTCAGAGGGAAAAAATTCCATCAGAGCTGAGTGTCCTGATGGCCTCATGAATACGCTGTCGGCGAGGCTATCTCCGTAAACACCCAGAACGACCTTCACGCATGTGAGTCGTAGCGCTATACCCTTACAAGTGATGCAGACTTACATTAGACTGGGCGACGGCTGACAACCTTTCCGCCCAGGGACTCTCTGAAGAAACTATGTTGACCTCGAAGTCGTTGCTTTCATGCAACGTTTCAAGAGCGTTGACCAACGCATCATGGTTGGCTCTCTTCAGCCTTGAACCGCTTGTGGCATCTTGTTGGGATATATAAGTGACTACCGTTTTTTCTTGTCCGCTGTTGAGGTTTTGTGCGCGGTGGTTTACATGCAAGAACTTGGCAAGATTCTGCCTAATTGGCTCCCACCATTCCTTTGACGCATTCAGGCCAACAAGCGGGAGAGCGAATGGAGGCACATCGTTTGCAGAACGTGCAGCTGCACCAAAATCGGCGACGACCAGCCTCTCGAAAACGAAAGGGACTTCCATGAGCGCATAATCTTCCCAATCTTCTTTATACATCAACCCGAGCAATGGAAAAGCGGCCTTGGGAAGGTATGGATGAAAACCACTGTCCGAACGTTGACGTCTAATTATGGGTCCATTGAGGTCGGGTTGTGTTCCTTTGTAAGTAGGAATGTTCGGGAAAAAAAGTCGTCGTGGGGGACGGAAAGGATCTGGAGACGTCGACGTGTTCAGAGAGCTGTGGATCCCCCAGAGCGAGAAAAGCGTGTAATTGCCTAGATATGTTATGTAAGGAAGCGACTCATGAAGATGCAGGCGTCGACAAACTCGGAATTGCGTCATACGCTAGCCAACTCGTGCCTTGAATCCTAGACGATGTTAAGAGCGGTCAGAATAGCACACGTGTGATACTCACAATCCACCATATGAACCAAGTATGTCTCTAGCTTGCTCGATCGACAGCATGGCCCATTCTCTTGGAAGCAGAGCTTCGTGCGAGTTGTCAG